ACTGCACCGTATCCCACCTCACTGCACTGCACTGCACCGCGCCCCACCGTACTGCTCCGGTCTGCACCGTGTGGCACAGCACTGCACGGCGCCCCATCGCCCTCCACCGCACTCTACCGTACAGCACTCCTTCCCACTGCTCCTCGTCGCTCCGTCACCGTCTGTTCGCGACTGTAGCGGCCTTCATGGCGGACTCGGTGCTGCGCTTTGACGCGGAGGGTTAGCCGATTGAGTTCGACTCATGGCTCATTGATCTCCACCGTCACCTCACTGGTCAGCGGCAGGATGGCCACTCCCCGGCTGCCCACATTGACGGTACGCTCCTCTGCCTTGACCCCACTGTAGCTCTTCCCGCTGACCCCACGTCTACTGACCGTGAGTCCGCCACCGCTGGTACCCTTGCCCATGCTGTCTGGCTGTCGCGTGACGCTATCGCTCAGCTCACGATTAGCCATGCCCTCCCCCTGTTAGAGCGCCCCCGCTTTAAGTCAGTTAGGACTGTGTAGGAGTTCCTAGAGGCTGTTGTCGAGTGTTATTCCACCGCGTCCTCTGCCTCTGTCGGCCGACTGATCCTTCCCATGCTCTTCCCTAATCTCGCGTCTTTCCTCACTGTCGCTGACCTGGCCACGCACCTGCGCACGCTCAATGCTAGCTGGCGTGCTGCCTGCATTGAGGCCCAGCTTCGTGTGTTCCAGCCCCCTTTCCGCTCTACCCTTTTCTTGCTTCCCACCTGTCTCCGTGACTGCCTTGCCACTGCCTGTGACCACTTTCTTAGTCTGCACCCTGCTGACCTCACCCCCTCCGACTTTGTCGACACCCTGCCTGCCATAGAGTCCCGTCAGCGCTCTATCGCCCAGTCTAGCGATACTGCGCTTTCAGGGTTGTGCTCCTGCTCAGTGCACTTACTCTGATGGTTCTGCGTCTATTGCTGAGACAGCCCCTGCTACTCAGACCGTTGCCGTGGTGGCCGCAGCACAGTCTCGTTATGGTAAGGCTCGTCGCCCCAAGGCTGGGCGCGGCGGTGGTAGTGGAGGAGGGGGTGGTGGTGGTTTTGGAGGTGGTTCATCCGCTGGCGGCAGTACAAACGAGGGGGCTGGGTCTGGTGCCAGCAGCCCCAGCGGGAGCAGCAGCAGGCGCCACAGCTTGACCAGCAGCTGCAGCAGCCGCAGCGGAGGGTCGGCCGCCTCCCGCCTGGGTGGCCTAGCGCAGGTGGTGGTGGTGGTGGTGGTGGTCGCGGTGGTCACGGTGGTCGTGCGCGTAGCTCGGTGCCGGGTGGTGGTGCGTGTGATGGGCGCTGCCAGTACCAGCTCCAGATTGGTCCTCGTCGCGACCTCGTGTGCGGTAAGACCGGTCATACCCCCACTCATTGTTTCATTCGCCTGGACGGCCTGGTTCATCTCCACTTCGGCCCCGCGCCGGACCTTCCCGACTGGCACAGTCTGCTCCGACATGGTGTTAGGATCTTTGATATGGACATGGATGAGATAAGCTCTGCATTGTATGTGTTGTATTTCGATAACACTAGTGTGACTGGTTCCTATTACCCCGTGTTGCCTAGTGTAGGTCTCTCCAGTATGCCTAGTTTAGGCTCCCCTGTTGCGTCAGGCGTAGGACCCTCTGCTTTGTTTAGCCGTGGCTCCACCCTAGCTCCTCTGCCCCCAGCCGCCACTGCCGCGCTCTCCTTCACTCTCGACCCGGGCGCGTCTCGGTGTTTCTTTCGGGACCACACTACGCTTACGCCGCTCGCCTTCCCTGCCGCAGTTACCCTTGCAGACCCTTCCTCAGGTCCGGTAGTCGCCCGTAGTTCCACCACTTGCCCCTATCCGGCAGTTCCTTCGGGCTCTCTTACAAGGCCTGCACATCCCCTCATTCTCTCGGAATCTAGTTGGTGTCGGCTGTCTTCAGGACCTCAGCGTCACCACTACATTCCCTAGTCACGAGAGGTGTGTTGTCTGCTCCGAGGCCGCCACTGGTGCCCTACTCGCCACCTTCCCCTGGGACCCGGTGTTTGGCATGTTCACGCTGGACACTGCGTCCCCCCCGGTTGGGACGCCCCCCCAGGTCGAAACGTCTTCCCAGATTGCTGCGGCTTGCTAGTGTTAGTCCGTTACTCACCCGTCGCTTCTGTGGCACCACCATCTACGTCACCCCGCTCTCACCCGTCTCCGTTACATGTCTCAGCACGGTCTTGTCTTAGGTCTCCCTGCGTCGTTCCCTCCGCTCCCCTCCTCAGCAGTGCCTCCGTGCACCCCATAAATCGAGGGCCGGCTGCGCCGTGCCCCTCACTCCTCCTTGTTCCCCCCCATCACTGCACCGTTACAGACCCTGTACATGGATGTCTGGGGCCCCGCCCTCGTCCATGGGCCATGTCGTAAGCGTTACTTCCTGGTGCTTGTCGACAACTACACTCGCTACACCACCGTGTTTCCCCTGGAGCGGAAGGCCGACGTGCTCGATGTTCTTATCCCGTGGCTTGTCTCTGCGCGTGTGCACTGAGGTCTCCCTGTGTTGCGTCTTTACTCCGACCGTGATGGCGTCTCAGCAAAATTCTGTCTGACAGTCAGACGAAGAGAAATTTCCTGGTCTGATTGCCTCATGCGCTACAGTTGACGCAAACTCGGCCACTCGCGCCTCAACCCATCACAACGCGTGAAGCCAAGTGTGCTGCTGCTGCTGTTTAGAGTGACTCTGAGATGTCAAGCGTTTCAGAATTTACCCTGAGGCCAAAGTATAGAGCTAGAGGACCACCCTGAGGAATCAGTATGAACATAACATAAGCCACCAACCCTGACTGCTACACGTTTTTTTGGGGGCCCGCCCTGATTGGTCAATATGCATAAAATCCTATCTGATGCCCTGTGAGCGACGCATCGGTTTGGTCATGGAGGTGGCTCGTACCTCCATAATCCATGCCGGTGCACCCCATTTTCTGTGGCCGTTCGCAGTTCGCTACGCCGCCCACCAGCTTAACATGTGGCCGCACCCTCAGCCGTCGCAGGCTTTGCCGACTCTCCTCTGGACTGGGTCTCCTGGTAACGCATCTGCGTTCCACGTCTGGGGCTGCCTTGCTCACGTTCGTGCCTTTGGCATAGACAAGCTCACTGCCCGCACCATCCCCAGTGTCTTTCTAGGTTTCCCACTCGACTCGTCTGACTGGCACTTCTACCACCCGCCGTCTCACTGTTTCTTTCACTATCGTGACGTCACCTTTGACATGTACGTCTCCTTCTACCACCGCTTTTCCTGCCGTGGTCCCCCGGTGACTCCCCCCCAGTTCCTGGTTCCGTCCCCTCCCCCGGTCGCCCCTGCTTCCCCCTCCTCCCTGCCCTGCCCTGTCTGGTGTGTCTCACGTCACCCCCCTCCCGTCGGTTGTCTCTGTCGAGGGGTCTACTAACTCTCGCGGCTCGGCCGAGTCCCTTCCCCTGCCTGTCCCCACCCCGATCTCTCCTCCCCTGCCGTGCCTCCTTGGTCGCCGCCGCCTCCTCCTTTGCCGGTCTACGGCCCTGTGTTTCCTCCCGTGGACTCTTCTCCGGCTCGTTTCCCTCTTCGTTCTCCTCCTGTGTCTCCTCCCCTATCATCAGGCTCTGCCCCTATCTAGTCTAGGGGGTGTGTCAAACATATTTGTGTATGTTTAGTAGACTACATAGAGTCTTGCCACAGAGAGTACAACCCACTAGGTATATACTATGAAAGAAGCTTAGGATAGGAACTAAACTTAGGACCCTAGCTTAGCTAGGAAGGAAGGAAGGGCGCCATGGAATGGCGTGCGGAAAGTAGATCTAGGAGCGTGAGGAGAAGAGTTGACGAAAAAGAAGAGTGACGATTAGGAAGAGAGAGCAGTACAAGGAGGGGATTGTACCCTCTACAGAAAGGTTCAGTAACAACCTACCAAGCTTATATTAAATTATAACTTATATAATTTTAACACACCCCCTAGGCTTGGTAGTGTCAAGCCCACGCACACCCCCACACCCACACCCACACCCACACCCACACCCCCTAGCCCAGCACCCCCATTCCCAGCAGGAGCCGCAACGACTCCGGAAGAGGGCAGCTCCCACGGCCCGTGAGATGGCAATGGCGGCAGCGGCGTGCGGCGGCACCAGGCCCGCGGCAACAGCGGCGTCGGCGGCGTGCGACGACACCAGGCCCGCGGCAACAGCGGCTGCGGCGGCGGCTTGAACGTCAGAGGCCGGTGCAGCGGCCCCCGCCCTCTCGGCGGCATGTCCAGTCTCCTCGGTGGTGGAGAGGGCCCTCATGAGGCAGTCATCGGCTGCAGCAAGAAAGGGGGGGATGCAGGGGAAGCAGGTGCAGGTGGGGGGGGGGGAGGGGAGGGGGCGGGGCGAGGCGAGTCTTCAGCGACGCGCCATAAGTGGCGCGGCACTTACTGGCAGGAGGGCGGGCAGGTGGCGGTTACAACGGCGTGCTGCCCGCTGCCGCCCATCGACACTGCCGCGGCAGCATGACGACGCCGCCAGAGCGCGGCGTCGACGCTGTGGCGGCACGCCGACGCTGCAACGGCAGCAAGGTGACGCTGCCACGGCAAAGCGTCGACGCCACCACGGCAGGGCGTCGAGGAGGCGACGGCCGCACGACGAAGCCGCCATGACAGGCCGGCATGGCCGCCACGGCGGGAAGGCAGTGACGAGAGAAATGCGCGGCGGAAGCGACGGCACGACAGCGCGACGCCACAGCAGCGCGTCGAGACGGCCGCGGCACGACGCGGCCAGCGGCACGACACGAGCGCCATGGCAGCGCGAGAAGCGTGAGTAGGCGGTCCAGCAGGAAGGATCTCCTGCTGTGAGACCATATCAAAGAAGCTTAGGATAGGAACTAAACTTAGGACCCTAGCTTAGCTAGGAAGGAAGGAAGGGCGCCATGGAATGGCGTGCGGAAAGTAGATCTAAGAGCGTGAGGAGAAGAGTTGACGAGAAAGAAGAGTGACGATTAGGAAGAGAGAGCAGTACAAGGAGGGGATTGTACCCTCTACAGAAAGGTTCAGTAACAACCTACCAAGCCTAGATTAAATTATAACTTATATAATTTTAACATATACCTCTGTTGACTCTCTTTCTAGTCAATCTCTCAAACTCTGGGACTTGGCCTCCGGTGCCAACACAGCTGATATCTTTACTGAAGGGCTTGCGCCTAAAGGTCATATGCGGCACTAGTTCCAGTAGCTCCTCACTTGCTATGACCTTGATTGTGTGCTCCTCTTTATATATACCTTATTGACCGGCCTTGTGGCTTCTCTGCCAGCGGCCGAACTAGTAGTGCCGCCCTGGTTTGCTCTTGTCGTTGTCGTGTTTGTACTCTTGCTGATCAACATCTACTACCACTATCGGCCACCTCCCACGGCAACACGATCGGAGTCACTGAGCCCAATTCAGCAGGCGAAAACCCCACCCGCGTCCTCGTCAATCCTGTCGCCCTGCTGCTCTCCCCATCGCCCTCCTCGTGCCCAGCTTTCAACGAGCAGTTGGCGCTCTTGGACCCCTTCCAGCTTGTAAGTCGCTGCAAAGTCTCCTCGTCGTCGGCTCGAGGCCTACCATCAGGTAGCACAGGCAGAGCAGCCATGCGCCTCAACCGGTTCTCTCCTCCTAACCCTCCTCCAGACCCTCCTAACCCTCCTCCTTCCCTTGCTCCCCTGGTTTCTGAATCCGGGCCACATCCTTCAGGAGACCTCAAACGGCGACTGGAGACCGAATCCATGGAGCCGAGCGCGTCTGACTCCTGCTCTTGGGCATTCTGCTCCCGTTCCCCTTTCTTGCTCTTCCGTGTGTCCGCACTACCCCTGTCCTTCTTCGAGCTCTTCAAGAGGCTACCCTTTGATCTCCCTGCCCCAAGGCTAAACAAGGGCCCAGAGAATGAGCGCGTCCCTTCATCACTGCCTTTCCCCAGTTTCTTACAACTGGACCCATCACCAGCAGCAGAAGCAGGCGAAGCACTGGCAGAACCAGCACTGGGACCAGCACTGGAACCAGCATCCCACATAGCTTTGTTGCCAGATGGCATCTTAGGACTGGGAGGAGGCCGACCCGCCTTCCCTCCTCCTCCTCCTCCTCCTCCTCCTCCTCCTCCTCCTCCTCCTCCTCCTCCTCCTCCTCCTCCTCCTCCTCCTCCTCCTCCTCCTCCTCCTCCTCCCTCCTCCTCCTCCCTCCTCCTCCTCCTCCTCCTCCTCCTCCTCCTCCTCCTCCTCCTCCTCCTCCTCCTCCTCCTCCTCCTCCTCCTCCTCCTCCTCCTCCTCCTCCTCCTCCTCCTCCCTCCTCCTCCTCCTCCTCCTCCTCCTCCTCCTCCTCCTCCTCCTCCTCCTCCTCCTCCTCCTCCTCCTCCTCCTCCCTCCTCCTCCTCCTCCTCCTCCTCCCTCCTCCTCCTCCTCCTCCTCCTCCTCCTCCTCCTCCTCCTCCTCCTCCTCCCTCCTCCTCCTCCTCCTCCTCCTCCTCCTCCTCCTCCTCCTCCTCCTCCTCCTCCTCCTCCCCTGGTCCCCTCACTCCCTGCCTTGCGCAGCTCACGAACAGCAGAAGCAACGAGCTCCGTTGCTGCCTCTCTACCCGTTGTGTGGGCTCTTCCTTTGAGTAGCCCTAGCCTCCCTCCCTCCTGCTGCTCCGACGCTGCTGTGTCCAACTTGGGAGGCGCACGTAACCACTTCAACATGGTGGACTTAGAGCCGGTAGCTGCTGCTGCTGGTGCTGCTCCTGCTGCTTTCAGGTCGTCGCTACTGTCTACCCTTTTACTGAGCCCAAGCTTCCGTTTGATACTGCTGCTAGTGCCTCTCCTGGTCACTGCATCGCCAGGGCAGCTCTTCACTGAGGCCGACCGTGCCAAACGCGTCCTCGTCGTCGCTGTGCGACCAGACGAGAAGGCGAGTGTCGCACGCACACCATCGCCATTCTCATCATCATCCTCGATATTATCATCCCCGTCGTTATCGCCGCTTGAGCCACTGTTGCTGGTACTGTACACGCTCCCCTGGTCCGAGCCACCGTCGCCAAAATCGGTCCCTTGAGCCTGCCTGCCTCCCTCGCCGTACTCGATATCGCTCGACTCAGGACTGCCTACAGACTGAATGGATATGGACGCGAAATACGGCGCAATAGTGGACCGGGGAGATGGCTCGCTGGCTGAAGACTTCCCAGATCCAGATCTCCCCTTCTCCAACCCCCTCGTGGCTGCTGGAGCCGCACCACCGTCACCTCCTCCTCCTCCTCCTCCTCCCCCTCCTCCTCCCCCTCCTCCTCCCCCTCCTCCTCCCACCCTCCCTCCTCTCACCAGAGTCGGAGTCTTCACGCCAAAGCTGAACCCATCCTCTTCGTCCGACTCATCGTCCATCTCCAATATTAGACGCTGCACTCCACCTCGTTTCGCATCTCCTACCCCTCTTCCCCCCGCCCGCTGCTGCCGCTCTGCCTGTCGCTGCCGCTGCCGCTGCAGGAGTTTCTGCTGCTGCAGCGCCGCCAGCGTCAGATGCTGCTGCTCCTCCTGCACCGCCTCACACAGCCCCTCCAACCCCAGCGGCGGCGGCTTGAATGCAGGTGTGAAGATGATGGAGGCGGGAGACACCGCAGGCTGCGCCAGGAGGTGCATCGCTCTGCTGACAGCCCCAGCCGATCGGGGGCGCCAGCCGCTGCCGCCGCCACCAGAGTCGACTGCACCGAAAGCCGCTGCGCCACGGGGAGTCGCAAGGCACTGAGACGGCTGAGAGGGCTTAGAGCGCTCGGAGCGCTGGGAGCCATTGCCTGCAGTGCGGTACCACTGGCGCTCGGCGAGCGACCCCTTGCCGGCGCGGCCTGGCGCTGTCGGGTCGAGGAAGCTTGGGCGGTACATGCGCGTGCTTGATGATAGGCCCAAGCGCCGCTGCTGCTTGTCCTGGCCCACCGGTGCGACCTCGACCTTCCGGCCGCTGCAGGGTAAACTGCGCGTACTGCAGATAGTATCATTCCGAGCGGTACTAGCACAAGGTGTCGGTGTGCTGACGTCGTCTTCCGAGTCGCCGTGACGCTCGGCGGAGATCTCCACGTCCCCGGGCAGCAGTGGCGGCGGGGCCATGCGGCGCACCATGGTGCGGGAGTGGTCGAGCTTGACTGGGCGGCGCAGCGTGGAGTAGAGGAGCTTCCACGCTACATGCGCGTGCAGGATAACGGCCTGCGCTTCCCGCGGGGACGAGGGCGAGAATCGCACGGACGAGCATGCCTGCGACTCGCTGTGGAACAGGCCTGGCGGTTGGTGGCGGTGGAAGCAGGAGAGGGAAGAGAAGGGGAGATTAGACACCAAAGAAATAAGAACAAGATAGCATTGATTGCTGACATTATAAGCGAGGCATTATAGCAGAGGTGATATGGGACCGACAGGGGGGGCACGTCGGACGGAAGCATGGGATAGCATGGGATAGCCTGGGATAGCCTGGGATAGCATGGGATACGGAAATAGCTAGCTGCAGGCATGGGGGAGACTGCGAGCGTACTGCAGACTGTGCGAGTAGTGCTTGGAATTGGGGAGTCAAACCACCAGCACTAGGAATGGCATGGGGAATGGCATGGGGAATGGCATGGGGAATGGCTCCAGCCAGGACTCACCGTTCTTGTATCGCCCGGGAACGGCCGTGAATCCCGACTCGTGCACCCACTGAATCACCTCCGCAATGCGCCTCGCCAACCCGTCGCCCGTCGCGCCGTCTGCCGGCGTGCCCGGGCGCAGGTTTGAGACGCCGGCGTAGCGACCGCCGCCGCCGCCAGCGGGGGCGGCGGACCCGGGGACGCCGCCGTTGCGGAAAATGTTGCCTCTAGCCGAAGCGCTTCCCTTGCTGCCGGCGCCGCCTTTAGCGATTTCGCTGACGATCAGGGGGTCGTCTGCGGCAATGACGAGGAGCTTGTGCGACACGTCGGCGTCGCCGAGTGAGGGAACCTCATAATAGGGTGCGACGCCGCGGCGGCCGTCGCCCGTCGCCATCGCCGTCGCCGTCGTCCGGTGGGGTCGCACGGGGAAGGCGAAAAGCGGCAAGACTGCGAACGCGTCACCGGGCTCTCGGACCTGCGACCCGATCTCGATCGCCTCCACCGGCGCATAGTCGAAAAACGACGTGCTCTCGCCACCGCCGCCGCCGGAAGTATCGCTGGGAAGCGCGGCCGTCGCGCCAAGCGGCGCCGCCATAGACGAAGTATCATCATCACATGTCCCGACTAATCGGTTCTTGCCATCAGCATTAACAACGCGGCTGTTGGCGATACTGCACGGAGCGAGGAGACACGTCTGCGGCAGAATCCCCGAGTTCCAGGAGAGCAGTGGCGCATAATGCGGCGGTGCCGACGCGGGGCACGGCCCCCGGTCGCATGATGAGCCGCCAGCGATGCTGTTTGACTTGCAAAAAACTCTCGGAGTTCTGGGAGTCAACGGAGTCGTCGGGGTCTTAGGAGTCGACGGTGTCGTCGGGGTGTGCGGGGTTCGCGGAGAGGTAAGGGGAGGAGCCAAAGCTCCAAAAGCGGTCCCGGCCGACGCCGCCGCCGCCGCGTTTGGTGGAGGGACTTCGAGCGGCACGACTCGGCCGTCGAGAAGCAGCTTCCGGCGGCGAGTGACGAGGGAGAAGAGCGACTGCCGGCCGTTGCCGTTCGCGTCGCGGTCGGCGTCGCTGCCGGCCGTGCAGATGAACGTGCACGTGCCACCGCCGCCGCCGCCGCCGCCACCGTCGCCTTGGTTGTCCGCGATTCCCGGAAAGAGAAGCACGTCATGCCAGAGGGAGTTAATCGCGCGGGAAGTAAGGAGTGGTAAGATGTTTCCGCACTGGTGGCCGTCCATAGTGCTACTGCTGGTAGTAGTCGCAATAACTACTATCTCACGGTACTGTAGCCTGCCTTATTTTGGTCTGCGTGCCACAGTCCTCCTACGATTTGAGCTGGGAAGGGGAACGCTGGAGCATGACGGAGGGATGGGCTGGGCTGCCTCGCGAAAGAGCGCGAAGGAGGATAAACAGAAAAGGAAGGCTCCAGTAATAATGTTGATGACGACGCATCTTGGTTCGCAGTGCTGCTCCTGCATCTCTGCCATCTTGGCAGGCAAAGGACGGGGAGGATTGGCTGCGCGGCACACGTAGGAGAGTAGGCAGGGAGGTGCTGAGTAGCCGAGTGGCTGCGTGCTGCTGTCCTTCAGGGAGGAAATTGTGGCGAATATGTTGCTTTCTGTTTCACATTTACTGCCGCACCTGAACGCGGGGGACCCGCCAACGCAACGCGCGGCTATCAAGGACTGATGGTCCAGTGTACAGCGGTGTACAGCACCAAATCCTTATCCAGGAAAAATATGTCTGATAGGGCCTAGGTGGCCCGGGTCAATGCCTGCATGGTCAAATTGTCAGGCACGCTTCGTCCTCCTGTGCAGGACAGCCGAAGGGTGTGTGCGGACGGCGGAAAAGGGGTGGGCGGTGAAGGTGAACAAGGGGAAGTGGAGTGTTGTGGGGAGCAGGGCTTCAGACTGAATTTTTAGCCACTCGTCAGATCCGGGTTCCCTACCAAAGTAACCAGTCATACTCGTTACAGTCCGTCTTTCCACCAAAATCCCTCGAAATCTACGCTTACAGCCCGTTTTCAAGCCAGAATCGACCCGATAACCCCGGGTTCAGAGATATCCATCAAAAAGGAAATTTCGGTCCAACATAGCTCGTTAAAGTATCCAATCTGGGTACATACCCGTCAAACATAGGCTCTCGTGGGGAGAGAGAGAGGGGAGCGGGGATGCGTCTGGGGTGCGGAAGAGATGGGCGAGGTGAGGGAAGGGAGGTTGCGTGGGATCCTTCCAAGTCAAACCGAACCAAACCCACGGGCCTGGAAAACAAACAAGTATGGTTGAGTGCGGTGACAGGTGGGCTCGGTATGGTTCGGTTTGGCCTGACCTGGGGCTGGTTCGGCGGCCTGGTTCGGTCTGGGCTGGGCCTAAAAGGACGAAAGAGGACTCATATTTGTGGAGCAACTGTTCCAAAGAACCCGCACGAGGATGGTCAGAAAGCAACTTGCAGCCCACTTAAGATACAGTCCAGTACACGACATCCGCGGCAATTAGGGCATGGTGTTGTACTTGGCCCGTTTTTGTGACAAAAGAGTTTGAAGGCGGTTTAGTTTGCTTCTGTCGGATACAAGCGGCTTACAGAGTGGTGAGAGTCTAAAAACCAGATGCTTCGAACCCTGAGTACAGTGCCCCGCCGTAATCCGTTTGCAGCAGGGCACATGTTATCAAAAAACTTTCCCTGACTTGAATGAAATTATAAGGTATTTTTAATACCAGCTCTTATTTTCTCTGGTTCTTTTCAACCTAGCCCTGAAAACATCCGGGAAGTTCTCAAGGCGAAACTGGAAAATCCGAGTTAGTTTTTTGCGACCCTGATTTTCCCACTACCCACAGCCTCCCCTCCCGATGCCCACCTCCCCCCCCTTGAATAGAGTTTCACCTACTCCCTAACAACCGTCACTCTTTCTAGGACCCGACTACCAGGCTATTGCTGTAGTTGAGAGGCAGTACTTCCAGCACGCCACTGGCCTTGAAAAGCATTGCAGTTCAGATTCGGACCTTTGATTTTTCAGGGCTAAATTCAAAGGGAGCCTTGAGCGACAGAGCTGTTAAGAAACTTGCAGAAGTTCTGGTTTCTGGTTTGCAATTAATAGCGGGACGTTAATACCAGGGGCAGACGATATTAAAAATGGAGGGAGATGCTGCAAATTATTATGTCTTGAAGGATACGGAAATAGTTCCTATCATTTTTCAACAGTACACGATGAACGTCAAGCCTCAACATAATCTCTACACTTTCCAGGCGTGAGTAAAGAATGAAGATATTCTCCTGAACATTATCGCCCTTCGCCCCATCTGCAAGGGAAGGACGGTTCACCAAGCTCCATTGTCTCGTGTTTTCCAGGGAGCATCTTTAGATCGGCTTTGTTGTAATCGCGACAAAGGCGTTCGGCTCGTCGATGGGGCTACAGTAGGAACTCCTTCAGATTCTAGACGTTATGTGCGGCCCAATAGCAGGACGCGATGACCTTGTTCTCCTGAGATGCCATGGGATGAACAAATACACCTGTTCCAGGATACACATTTGCATTCGTTTTGCGCGGTGCGTGCATGTATCCTCCGGCCAAAACACTGCGCAAAAAGGGCTTGTACACTTCGGGGGCGGGAGTAGCCGTACTGTAGTCATTAAATGCGAACGGCGTATGTGCGTCCGTCTTGGTAACCGGCGCACAGGGCCTTCTGACTCGCAGGAAACGCTTCATGTTACAACAACAACAACATTGCACTACGTTTATGAGACAACACCTACAGAATTACAACACTTAGATTCAGGGCCTCTGATGTCAGGATGTTTTATCCTGAATTCCTGATTTTCAGGATGCCTGTTAGGTGCCAAACCTGAAAAATCCGTTTAAGCTCATTTTTTACCCTGTGAATTCAGTTTTTAGTCATAGTGCAACCTTGAGGATTCAGTAAAGTGTTAGTGTACCAGCCCTGAGCTGTCAGTATGCCTTCGGGGATAACCCTGATTTCTCGAATCTTGAATGCACGTGCGCCACTAGGGTAGCCCTTGCCTCGAATCAAACATTTCGGCTAAGTCCTCAAAGTTAGCAACAATCCTCCGAAACCCCCCGCTTCTCCAAATTTTTGGCTAAGTCCTGAAAGTTAGAGACAATCCTCGGAAACCCCCCCGCTGCTCTAAAATTTTGGCGAAGTCCTGAATGCTAGAGACAGTCCTCCAAAAAGTCTCCGCTAATCTGAATTTTTTGCTTAGTCCTCAATGCTAGAGACAATCCTCCCCTCGCTCCACCCCCCATCCACTAAAACTTTTCGGCTAAGTTCTCCCTACCAGAGACATCCTTCTACAACTTCTATGCAGCCCTGAAATTCCGACTTAGTCCTCATAGTATTCGTGATGCCCAGGTTACGTCGAATAAAAATCTCGTAAAGTACTGCAACTCAGGGATTATTCCTCACGTTTGTACTTTGTGACTAGCTTTTATGAGTTTTCCACGGTCAAGATTACCATAAACAAATTCAGATGATTCTGCACGTTGAATTGGGAAGCAGAAGAACTTGCCATAGAGTGTGCCACATGTGAGGAATACGCCCTCACCACCACCCAACCTCGTCAAACTGACCGTCATAACCGCTCGATGGAAATCTAACTGCAGTTTTTTCACGCAACTTTTCGTTTCTTGCCTTTGACTTCATCGGAATTTTTAGGGGCTGCATTCATTCTCAATTGAACGCCCATTCGTTCTCAACAAAATTCTGCCTGACAATCAGACCAAGAAAAATTCTTGGTCTGATTGCCCCGTGCGCTACAGTTGACGCAAACTCGGCCAGTCATGGCCAAGTCTCAACCCATCGCCACGCGTGAAGCCAAGTGTGCTGCTGGTGCTGTTCAAAGTGACTTCGCAAGATTTCAAGTGTTTCAGAATTTACCCTGGGGCCTAAGTATAGAACTGGAAAACCACCCTGAGGAATCAGTATGAACATACGCCACCAACCCTGACTGCTACACATTTTTTTGGGGTCCCGCCCTGATGAGTCAGGATGCCTAAAATCCTATCTGAGGCCCTGCTTAGATTACAACAGATCCACGTATTTCCAGAGATGAAACCACATGTTCCAACTCCTGCCCAAGGCCACAATTTCAGCCTTCCCACGCTGCTTATGACGTTCTCTGTCCACATGCTCATACTCTCCCGTGTTAGCATCTGCCGCGCAGCTGAGAATCACAAACTCATAAAGAAACAGAAACCAGAGAGGCACACCTATCCACACACCCCTTCACAGACGCACACACACACACCAACGGGCGAGATTGCAAAGAATCACAACACACAGAAGCACACACACCTCATACACGCAAAAACAATCACAGTCCAGATAGGTACACAAACCCACGCCCACACAAACAATGAGGCACACTAGGAAACGCACACCACTGCAACGAAGACATGGCTCGCACACGACAGAGGGGAAAGTGTTAACAAGGTGACATTGGATGCAGGGGAGATATGGAGAGGTACACAGGGTGGGTTTAAAAGGTCCTCATGATCTCTGCCGCGCCATCAAAGCCGTCCATCACAGCCGTCGCTTGCAGAAGTCGTTCACGGCTGATGGCGGTGTCCTGAGTGTCTCGATCGTCGCTGCAACTGGCTGAAGCGTGAGGAGATGGAGCGAAGTTCAGGTCGATGCTGAACGTCTTGCACGGCTTCGGGCTGGCCCTCTCGAGGCGTTCAATCACATCATCGTTTTGGATGTCGAACAGCTCCGTGAGGTAGCGCGGATGGATCCGCGTCGCCCTCGCATAAGGGATGAGCAGATCAGTCGCTAGGCGCCGAACCCGCCGCATTGCCCTCGCACGCTCAGACAGCTCGATGACGAAGGGAGGCTCTCCTCCCGTCTGGCGCACTGGAGGGGGTTCGGTGGAGAGAGGATCGACGCCCTCGGGCTTGCAAGTCGGTTGTGTCTCGTCGATGCACAGTAACGTTCTGAGAGGAGTTGCCTGGGACACGTGGCGGGAATTCAAAAGGGGAGGGGAGGGGAGGAGGGGAGGAGGGGGGGCGTGGGGAGGCTGGGGTGGGTTTGGGGGGGCCTGCTGGTGCGGGTAACTGAACGTCGCTCCGTCTCATGCCCGTCTGTGGTGAAAACTGCACTTCCGAGACGATTCGACATTCAGCTTGCATATGCATAAACCCGGGACGCCTCCTAAACCCTGTGAGGCCAGTTCAAAGAAGCCTCCACTTCGCACTTTCAGAAAAGGTAACAAACGATTTGGTGGTTTCCAGTTAAAGAAAAGTGTAAGGAATTTCCATTCCTTACTGAGTCGTACGCTAGCACGTACACCCGAACTCCTCGACTCGTCACGTTCGGCCTCATTTGTCGGCCCAACCCTTTCCCGAGTCGCGTCCGGCCCTGTCGTCACATTGCCGAACCTACCCACGTTCCGAGGTTATCGCCCTAGCACGCCAACCCTTAAATAACCTCGTGCCTCCATTGCAATAGCGACATTGTATTCTCATGATATAGTTCATTGGCACTTCCTATATCATAACAGCTGGTATCAGAGCCCGATCTTTCCAGGAATCTTTTGTTTTCCCATTTA